GCTTTTGTTATTTATTTTTATTTGACATTGTTTACAGCCCCCTTCTTGCGTAATGTCCTTTTTAATCGGCCCTTAAGGATAAATGACGATGAAACGAGTGTGACTAAACAGTTTTTTCACGTATAAGTCGCACTAGCTAGTAAAACACTGCAGCACTTTTCCTTTTGAATAATTGAGGGTAATGAACATGCTTAATTTCAATTCAAATATTAGGGTTGTAATGTTCCAGTAAAAAGCTGCAAGCTGTATTTTGGTTTGAAAATAACCAACATAAAGAAGAAAAAAAACAGTGATTACGCCTTTTTCCGCAACCCACCATTGGATCGAAGTTTTGCTTTGTGCCTACGCATTTTTCTCCACCGCTTTTCTTCTTCCAGTAACTTTCGCTTCTATAAACGGGCATCGGAACTTGCAAATATCCGAATAGGCCGCGCGCTTAGTCCTGCGCGCTCTTGCTTTTCCATCTGACACGGATAAGAGCGAGAGGATAGCGCAGTTGCTCACCTTGGAGATAGGCATCGTCTTTTCCATCTCTTACAAGCGCATGTACCTTAAAGGGTAACTGCAAAGAAAAAAAAGTTTTTTTTTAAATAGCCTAATTGGGACAAGCATGTCAAAAAACAATTTTTCCGCGAGAAAAAACATTTTTTACAGCAATATTTATTGCGTGAGACTCATTTTAGTTTGCGGCTATTTCGTCCGTTTTAAATCGCGCGCCACAAAGTTGTGATTATGTGACGTCAATCCCAAAAGGTTCTCATTGGCTAAGAGTTTGATTGACAGCTTAGATCTTGGTTCTTAAACCTTTGTTATATGTTGCAATTTCCTTTTGAGCGGCATATTTTTACGTTTAAAGAATAACCCATGTGATGAGAGTTATTATTCTTTAAAAAAGGTTTACAAGACGGGCACTTCCGTTTGGATTCATACAAACAAAAGCTTCGCCATTCTTTCATGGCCGCCGAAGTCTCTGCTCCCGCCTGTCTCGCCTACCTCGACTAATCGTTTCGCCGAAGTGATCAGTGTTTCGTGCTGACCCAGGTGCTTGAGTGAGACTTGAAGTGAAGTAGTGTGTGTCTAGCAGCTGTCGCAGGTGTTAGTGATAGGAAGCGACGCTGGGTTTTGGCTTTCATAGCGCGGTTCTTTCGTTTTCCTCTTTGCTTGCTTAGCGTGCTTTTTTTTATTTTGTTTGTTTTGCTTGTTTGCGCGTGCAAATGCTGACTTTTCGGAGATGTCAGATGCGTGATCCCGACAGTGAGCCTTCCAGCAGCCATGTCGCCCCGAAAGGAATGCTATTTGGCTGGAGGCAATCGGGCGTTCGCGTAGCGACCAACGTGTTTAGTTACGTTCTCGTCATATCGCTCTGGAGGCCGTCGAGATTCGCCCCGTGTGCACCTAACGTCCGCGACTAGACAGAAAATAAAAAAGCACTATGTCCACTACGTAAAAAGTGGTCTCAGTTCATGCATCTGTAGGCAGGTACGAAATCATGCCCAAATTTATTCACTCCGCACGATGCAACACGTCGCTGTGCAAACGCAGTCCAACACGAAGCATAAAAACGGCAGATTTAGGACAACAATTCGGAGTTCATTGTTCAATTAAAACGACGTAATTTTGTTGAAAACGCCCGCAGCTTTTTACTCACGGTATGCGTCGGGAAACTTCCACATTTTGAAACAGAACGAGGCAGATTTACTTTTAAAAACGCTCCCAGCGTCCTCCCGGACCAGTTTGACTGGATCAGCTGACGACGACGGGACTTGACTGGTTGAACGTCAACCCCACAACAACCAATTTGCGCTCCGTGTTAGCACCACATTACACACACCACGAACGTTTCAGCTGTTTCAGCTCTGTCGCATCGCCGTGTTGCACCAAACAGAACGAGATCGCCGAAACCAACGCAGCGCTGCCGTGAACCTTGGCTTGTGGCTGCGCACTCGTGGATTCTGTGACTCCCTTCGCTTTCAAAGCGCGCACGACGATTACGAACGATACTTTCCGTCTTCCGGGAACATCACAGGGGCACTTCTCCGGTCGCGTCTTCGCTACATGTGCTCGCAAACCGCGTCAAACCAAAACAATACTGACAATACCGCCATACCGCGGCCTGGCGTAGTTGCCAGATCTTGCCGGAAGTCGAGGCGCTGCGTCGTTCAACTCCGCAACGCAAGGAGAGTGAGGGGCGGGGCGTACTCCTCTTCCGCTGGGGTCGAAAGAGCGGGAGTTTCAAATGTGGAAAGGTTCTGACTCTACTAAATTACGTCCTGTGGCGTAAATATTGATAAAAAAAAATAATTTTTTTCGTGGAACATTTGTTTTGTGACATGCTTGTCCCAATTAGGCTGTTTAAAAAAAAACTTTTTTTTCTTTGCAGTTACCCTTTAAGTTTCCGGCATTCCTTTCGAAACCGTAAAAAAAAAAAAAAAAAAAGTTTTGTCGACGAAACGTTTTACGGTGGTGCTGTCGACGAAACGTGTGTCCATAAAACGTGTCTCCACGAAACGTCTGTCCACGAAAAGTTGTCCACGAAACGCAATTCTACGAAACGAGTTTCGACGAAATGATAAGGACCCCTCCGCGACGGGGCTCTCCAAAGCCTCGCCGTAACCGCAGAACGAAGCTAGGCATCTGAGCGCCACAAGATATTCGAGGACGGCCTCTCCTGGACTCTGTGCTCGAATAATGAAGTTCCCTCACTTAACAATATTGTCCAGAGCGGCAGCGAAATACGCGTCCAAAGCTGACAGCAAAACTTGAAACTCATCCTGAGTCGCGCCAACGGGCGGAGCGCGATTTCCTTCTTCGCCAAGGAATGAGACAACGAAATTGCTCTTTTTCGTTTGGGCGGAAAACTGTCGGCATCGACTGACTCGAGATGATTCAGAAAACCTCGCTTCCACGTGAGCCTCGGCATTACCGGCTCGCCGGGCGTCGGTAGAAAATCGGCGAGAATTCTGCACGCCGTGGATGCCATTGTCGAAAATCAGTAAGGACGGGAACCTGAAAACAAACAAAAACAACAAAAAAAAAAACCGGAAAACTAAATAATAAACGTCTAGTCCGTCGGACGGGGAGTAGGGCTCCGTCGAACGTTCTCGAACAAAGGAATGCAGCACCGGCTGCGAAGCCTAACAGGCCTAACGGACGCGGAAGTTCAAAATGCGAAAAAACATTATGGGCGTGGGTAGAAAATCGGCGAGAATACTGAACGCCGTGGATGCCATTGTCGAAAATCAACAATGACGCTAACCTGAAAAAAAAAAAAAAAAGAAAACAACGGAGAACTAAATAATACACGTCCAGTCCGTCGGACGGGGAGTAGGGCTCCGTCGAACGTCCTCGAACAAAGGAATGCAGCACCGGCTGCGAAGCCTAACAGGCCCAACGGACGCGGAAGTTCAAAATGCGAAAAAACATTATGGGCGTGGGTAGAAAATCGGCGAGATTTCTGCACGCCGTGGATGCCATTGTCGAAAATCAACAAGGACGGGAACCTGAAAACAAACAAAAACAAAAAAAACCCCGAAAAACTACATAATAAACGTCTAGTCCGTCGGACGGGGAGTAGGGCTCCATCGAACGTTCCCGAACAAAGGAATGCAGCACCGGCTGCGAAGCCTAACAGGCCCAACGGACGCGGAAGTTCAAAATGCGAAAAAACATTATGGGCGTGGGTAGAAAATCGGCGAGAATTCTGCACGCCGTGGATGCCATTGTCGAAAATCAACAAGGACGGGAACCTGAAAACAAACAAAAACAAAAAAAAAAAAACCGAAAAACTACATAATAAACGTCTAGTCCGTCGGACGGGGAGTAGGGCTCCATCGAACGTTCCCGAACAAAGGAATGCAGCGCCGGCTGCAAAGCCTAACAGGCCTAACGGACGCGGAAGTTCAAAATGCGAAAAAATATTATGGGCAGAAAATCGGCGAGATTTCTGCACGCCGTGGATGCCATTGTCGTAAATCAACAAAGACGGAAACCTGAAAAAAAAAAAAGAACAAACAAAAGAAAAACGGAAAACTAAATAATACACGTCCAGTCCATCGGACGGGGAGTAGGGCTCCATCGAACGTTCTCGAACAAAGGAATGCAGCACCGGCTGCAAAGCCTAACAACCGCGGAAGTTCAAAATGCGAAAAAATATTATGGGCAGAAAATCGGCGAGATTTCTACACGCCGTGGATGCCATTGTCGAAAATCAACAAAGACGGAAACCTGAAAACAAAACAAAAAATAACAAACAAAAGAAAAACGGAAAACTAAATAATACACGTCCAGTCCGTCGGACGGGGAGTAGGGCTCCATCGAACGTTCTCGAACAAAGGAATGCAGCACCGGCTGCGAAGCCTAACAGGCCTAACTGACGCGGAAGTTCAAAATGCGAAAAAAACATTATGGGCAGAAAATCGGCGAGATTTCTATACGCCGTGGATGCCATTGTCGAAAATCAACAAAGACGGAAACCTGAAAACAAAACAAAAAAGAACAAACAAAAGAAAAACGGAAAACGAAGTAATACACGTCCAGTCCATCGGATGGGGAGTAGGGCTCCATCGAACGTTCTCGAACAAAGGAATGCAGCACCGGCTGCGAAGCCTAACAGGCCTAACGGACGCGGAAGTTCAAAATGCGAAAACATATTATGGGCGTGGGTAGAAAATCAGCGAGATTTCTGCACGCCGTGGATGCCATTGTCGAAAATCAACAAAAACGGGAACCTGAAAAAAAATAGAAAAAAAAAAAAACGGAACTAAATAATACACGTCCAGTCCGTCGGACGGGGAGTAGGGCTCCATCGAACGTTCTCGAACAAAGGAATGCAGCACCGGCTGCGAAGCCTAACAGGCCTAACGGACGCGGAAGTTCAAAATGCGAAAAAAAAATTATCCCATTCTAGCACGCCGAAAATGTGGTAATTATAAAACGGGAACCGGTAAAAATAAAAGAGGCACAGGGTCCACGCGGGGCTGCGAAAGTGAAGAGGGTCTCACATGACGACGAGGCGGTGACCGCTGGAGCCCTTTGCCGGGAAGAGCACCGGTTGACACGTCTGACGCGGAGGATTCCTCGAGCCGCACTGGGCGGGCTTATCAGCGGTCAAAAACATGGGCGCGAATAGCGGTTGGTGGCGTTATCTGGCTACTGCACATCTTTTTTTTTTTTTTAAAAAAACTTCGAAATAAAAAGAAAGTGTCTGATTTTTTTTAATGATAATCGTAAAATAAAATACGTTGTCGATATCGCCAAATGACTGATCAAAAAAAGAGAAAAATGTGCACCGTCTGCTTTTCGGATTGGACCCTGGGTCCGCTGCGTGTGAAGCAGCCGTCACCACAGAGCAACGCCTCAACTTGGGCAGACCGTTTTGACAATCCGTTTCATACACCGCATTTTTTTGCGTAATTACCTCTAGAAGCCGCTAAAACCTAGTGCGTGATTCATTTAGCGGTGTTTACGAAAACCCTGTAAGACCAGACAAGCAAAACGTTTTGCGTCGTGCCAGCCGAGCCCACAGGACCATGCCTCGAGTGTAGTTGCATGCGCTACACATGCTGGCGTCTGCAGCATCTTTTCTACAGCATACACTTGGAATAAATTACATTGATTGTACATGCATTATGCAACACCTGATTTTGAAGTACCTACATTCAGAGCATTCTCTATGCAATTTAGGTAATTTGGCAAAATATCTATTAGGTTGAACTGCATATATTGCTCAATGCCAAATGCCTTTGTGTAGCAGTGAGTGCATGCCCTTTTCTTGAAAAGTCTGCAGCAGCAGTTACATGATGCGTTAATGTGGAGTGAGTGTCTTTAGTAACCTGCACCAGCAAACAATCCCCCCCCCCCCCCCCCCGCTAACTACACTGCACGCAATTCCACGAAGAATCTTTTTTCAGACATTGGCACATGGTACTTAAAGATGTCTGAAATGTGAATCTTTCCTTATGAGACATCAGGGCTGTCACCAAGAGGTGGAAAAACTTCAGAGATACGTTCGGCATGCAGCCGAGCGAGAGGAAGAAAATGGGCGGTGCTGGAGCACCAGAGCCCAACCTAAAATGGGAATATTTCAACAAAATGCTCTTCCTTTTGGACTCCATGGAGCCATGCGTGTATGTATTCCAATATTTCAAGTGTTTATAAATTACTACATTTTAATATGTGGATGATTTTAACGCACTTTAACAGCCAATAAAAATGTTTAATGTGCGTTTAGGAGCACCAGCAACATCAAGCTATAGGTTGTGGAGAGTAAAAACTCTGTTTCCTACAGGTTCCTACAAGGATACGAGGAGGAGCTGGAGAACGCATCGCAACAGCTCTCTGCCATCGTGGGCGGGCATGACGACGACCGCCCTGCGCACTCGGACTCCTCTTCTTCCACCCACTCCCCGCATGTCCCTCCTGCCCTGCCTTCTCAATCTGCCTCTCTTCACCCTCAAGGTTCTGTCTCTGCTCCATGCCGTTCCCTTCCTTCTCATCAGTCTATCTCTGCTGCTTTTGCAAACCCGGTCTCAACAAACACTCTTTCCAGCATATACGGCCACCTAGACGTAAAACAACTGCTAGCGACACTGAGCTCATCCAAGACATTGACCGGCAGTTACAAAAAAAAAATTCCGTCCCAACACTTCCTACTTTACCTGTCTAGCCACAGCGTGCCACTGCAGGCGTACGGCTACTGCCGGATCCATCTTCTGGATGTAGTCTTGCACTACCGAAGTAGTGTAATACCTACAACGCTGATGCAGGTGCAAGGGCTGCTAAATAATGCACTGTAGTAAAGACATTGTATTGAGTGAAGTTCTTCCCCCATCATCACACGCACCTGTCGTGTGTCCTTAGGAATGCAACTTCCCTGTCCCAGAGAGCAAATTGGGAAGCACTAAATGCTCTTATCTCGTCTGCTTTGGAGGACAGGCAAATAACATTCTTAAGGGCGTTTGAAATGCACATGAGACGAGGGGGGGAAGGAAGATGTACAGGTGTGTTTGTTTGCCCAATCTTTCAACTTATCCTTTATTCTTTGGTTTCACAAGATAATCACCAACTATCACATAACACAACCTCTAAATGACACTTTTGCACTACACCACAACATAATGCCTGAGCTTGCTACTAACTTTCATCACTCTTACTAACCAACGAATGGACCATGTAACGTCGGAAGTAATATAATTGCGCTAACCGTAAAATAATTTGTGTCTTGAGTTCACCACTGGAACACAACTATAAGATAAACACTGCAAAAATACTCTAATTTTAGATTCCCCTAGACAAAGTTGAGGGAAAACAATTGCATTCATAGGTTGATAACTTCCAGCCACGAAACGAGACTGTCCATGAAGCAATAGAACACAATACAAAACAACCAAATAAAACACACATTCCAAGAAAAGTTGCATGATGATTACGTCTATAGCTATTGACAGGTTAAGAACCCAGAAGATGCTTCACCTGCAGCACACACTCGTTGCCTTCTGCCGAACTAGAGTTCTTAACCTGTCATTAACGATAGAAGCTTACATTTCAATACTAGTAAGGAACATAATCACAGTTACCAGTTTTTTCCAGGCTGTGGCCCACAGGGGAAAACTTCCGCCAAAAACCTGTTTCTTAGAAATTCTGCTTGAACAAGCATGGTTTTCCAAAAAAAATTTTTATGCGCAAGTATTTTCACAAACAAAATCTGCAGAGCCAAGCTTGCACTAGAGCCTTTACCAGCACTGAAGGCGACTTCTGAGACTATACATCACTATACGACATATCACAGATGCCACTGGTCTTTCGTTTAAATTTTCTCCTGTAGGTCACAGTCTGGAAAGCGCAGGTTGCCGTACTAAAATGCTTAACCTGCAATTGGGCCTCTTGGTTAACACTTCAGCACGGCATAAAGCCAGGACACTTCGCCAGCAGCACTGTTAAAGTACAACTTGTACAGGTCCCTCACATACTGGGCCATGTCGGCAAAGTTCCGCGCCAGTGTTCACGCCACCTGCATCGGTGGCTGAACAAGCAGTTTGCGCCACTCGCCGCCCTGCCTTTGATCAGTCGCATTAACAGGATCTGCATCTCCAGCTGCGCAGTATACATTATCTCCTACGTTTTGCTGCATCAAAAAACTGTGGAGAACGCACAGTGCCTTGCCAAGGTCCTCAGCGTTTTGTGGGCTCTCCCCCTGTCGTTTTTCAAGTATCCGCCAACGGGTAACCAGGATGCCGAAGGCATTTGCACACATCTCCTTTAAGTGCGAGAAAAGACAAAGCAAGAGTTTATTTCTTCAATTTCCACTTTAGATAAATGAACATACCTGTCAACTCTCCAAAATGTTACGTCAAGTTAAAGAATTTGGGCCTCATTCCACAATTATTTCATTCTATTTTACCATAAACGTTTTGTTGTGAAACATCTTGACAAGTGCAGTGAAAGAACCTTACGACCCACAAGGTGGCGTAACTAAATCCTCTTGACAAGTGCAGAGAAAGAGCCTTACGATCCACAAGGTGCCGTAACTAAGTCCCACAGATAGCTGCTTACAAGAGCCAAAGCCCACTCTCCTCCCCGAAGGTTGTCCCCTGTAGACCGAGGAGACAACTTTTTTGCACAATGTGTTCGCCATCTGGACTGCCGATTCAGACACACACTGCACCTTGCACACTGCACCAGCTGGTTAAGAACATCGGGAGAGAGGGAGACAGGGTCTATGTCCAATTGGATGTTTGCCAAGTAAGGCAAACTACAATCAGTGACAGGTTAAGAGTTCAGGGGAAGTTCCCCGTTCTTTCCGCTTCAGCAGAGCGAATGCCGGAGGAGGTTGCCTCCTCGCCAGCATTCTCTCTTCTAAACTGAGGAGGCGTGGGAGGTGTTTCCCTTACTTCTGAACCTATACCTATAATAACGTTGGTTTGCAATCACTATTGCACCTGTCTGTCTCTTTGCTGCCCATTCGTCAAAATGCAAGACATCCACAATCCTCATACCCACCACCTCTATTTGTGGTGAATGTTATGAATTTCACTGATATGTGGTGGTGTTTATTTTTCTCTGGTAGAGTTTACGGTCAGTGTCAAATGTTTTGGCGAGTATTGAGTGTCCCAAAGGTCACGTTACATTAACCTCTAGAGTTGTTTGCCCCACTTGCTGGGACTAGCTTGAGACGTCTGAAGAGGCTGCCTCCAATACGTACAGCGCCACGACAGCACGGGTTTTATGAACCCTCGGTACAAATCACGCACTTTCTCGTTGCGTCTCCGTGATTGCGCGTGAGTCGCTGCAGCTACCGCCAGCAGCCATGGTTGTGCTTAGAAACTTAAACCGAAACGATACCTATGGCAGCCTAAATGTATTGCGACAGGTGAAGCTATTCACCGATTTGAATACGTAATGCGTCGTAACTCCTTCACGTCTTGCAGTGTCACCGAATCCACTTATTTCGTACCGCAACCGCGACAGGGTTAGACTAGGTTCGACAAAGCGTTGGTGTCGCGGACCACATAATAGATAACGGAACCGGTGCAATGGAGGGGGATGAGAAAGGGCCAGCCTCGCAAGCCGCAAGCTAGCCAATGATACCTCCTCCCCCAGTTCCGTGTGCTCGTCCAACACCACCTAGAAGACAAGGCCATATTGCTAACATTTTTTGCGACGCCAGCGAAGGACAACGCTGGTGTCCAGCGTTGTCCTTCGCTGGCGTCGCAAAAAATGTCAGCGCTCCGCTACGAGTAAAGGTTAAACCGAACGCTAACGCAATCATCGTGTCCAATCTGTAACCAGCGTTAGCCTTCGCTGAGGACATCTCTATCAGAACTACGGCTTTGTTATCTAGGCGTTGGCTCGTGCGACTCGGCTGCTCGAGTGTTGTTGCCTTGGCAACCTGCGTCTATTCGTGCCTGTCACATTGTAGCGGGAGGAGAGACGATGGGAGGGGCGTGCCGACAAGTCCCGTAAGTCGTCGCGCGGTGCCTGCAGGTTTTTGGGAATTTCGCAAAGGGTCTATTGTCTTTCAGCCTTCACAGGACCACGATTGTTTCGGTTCCCGGGGTGACTCTCCTGTTAGGGGCCAATCACTCGAGGCTGTCTTTGGTATGCACAAATTTGTATTTTTGTTTTTTCTAGTAGTACACTTGAGGATGCAAGCGGTCTACTGCTTAACCCATGGGTTGCAGTTATGAACCTTTCAACCTTTGATCTCTCTGCTTTCAAAGGCTTAACTTGAGTTTTTAGGAGGACGTGGTATGAGAATATTTGTTACGGTAAATATGGTTGTTGTTATTTATGAATGTTTATTGGCTGAGGATTAACTTTAGAATGGTGTGGCCTGAAGCGTTTAGTTACACACTCAACCGTTCTGGGAAAGGAGTGGGACAGCCCTGGCTGATGGACTCTGCTTGTCCTCCGTCTCATTGGTGAATGAGTGGGAATCGTTTTGCTGTTGAGCTGTTGCTTAGTTTTCCCGCTGTGGCGTGTTCTTTCCCTTTCTCGAAGCCTGTGCGTGCGGCAGTGGGGTGTCAACCCTTCACTCAACAGCGACAGAGATCTTCCAGCAGTGATCTTCTGACAAGGTTTAAGAGTTTCAGTATCGTCGAACTGGACTCGGCATTAAAAAGCCAACACGTTTTGTTTTCCGAGGATCTGTGCTGGCTAACGTTTGTACGCGGCTGCATTGGTGTCGAACTTTAGCAAGAGGTATATTTGTTATTGTTGGGAATGGTTTCTTTGGACAATGCTAATTGAGGATTTGTATCTGTACTGGAGAGGTTTTTCAGTTCTAATACTTAATTCCTTTTTTGTGTCACCAGGTACAGGTATCTATGTTTGATAACGTTTGAGAGTTGTGTTTGTTGCCATCTCTCTATGGATGTTGCCTCTCTTACTGATCTTGCACTGGGCATATACCTCATAACCTGTCACCGACAGCTCTTCTGTTCTTTAAAAAATATATCTGGAATTTATATTTTATTGTTTCTATCCCCACTCCATAGCAGTGTGATAGACGGGTTGACTTGACCAAGTTTTTCCGCTCTTTTCTCGCCATACATCCAGTCGCTGCATCCTATGTACTAATGCAACCAAAAATCCCAGGGCGCACCACCCGCGACTGAAGTGCATTGCTGCGCGATATTTTGGTAGCTCACCTGGTTTCTAGACCAGATAAGAGCGCATGTGTGTCCTTCTGTCCTTCTCATGCATGTGTCTTTTTCGGTTCTTCATCAACACGGTGCTTTCCCCAGAATCCGACGCGAGGGCCCACTTTGGCGGCCGCCATAATGAGCGCCGGCTACGCATTCCCCCGACTGGAGATAACGTTTACGGCTTTGCGCTGCATATCGCCGAGCAGGTGTGCCACGTTTTAGAAAGAACCGAGCTTATTGCTCAGTCGACTCTCCCTTAGTTGTTGCTTTTGAGATGCAATATCACGACACAAGGACTGAAGCAGGTGATTGCTGTTGAAGGAAACTTAACTGGTCATCAGTCGTATTTGCTTGTATTTGCTTTTCTTTGAACTCTTTTGTTGTTGTGCACATCCCTTGCTCTCACCTTCGGAGCACGGCGTATGGGCTTTTACTAACAGCCACCGTGAGCAGATTGCTTGCTGGGTGAGATATTGTACTTACAGAGTTCACGATTCCTTATTTAAGCCTGTGACATGCACATGATTTTAAAAAAAAATGTAACAGCCAAGTTAAAGCTCAGATTTTTTTCTAACACCTGGTGGGCCCGCTCGGTGATATCTGCCGCAAAACCACAAGCGCGATCTCTAGTCGGGGTAATCTGGAGCAGACACTCATCTCAACGGCCGCCGAAGTAGGCCCTCGCGTCGGATTCTAGGGAAAGCACCATATCGAAGAAGAGACGAAAGAGATATGCATGAGAAGCTAAAAAAGACTCGCGTGCGCTATTATGTGGTCTCAAACCCAGGTGAGCCCCCAGCGGATAGCGCACCTATGCATTTCGGTGAATGCTCGTGCGTCCAGGGGATGTTTGTCTGCAATAGCACATGCTTCCGGTTTACATGCAGGGTTCGCGGCATTTCTATATTTTGTCAAGTTTTATAGGGCAGGAGCACAAAAAGAAACTTGCACAGTGAAGTTTCTGTACTTCATGCCATTCAAAGAAATGTATGAAGCGACATGTAGTTGTGACATGGGCCTTTTAGATAATGGCTAAGGCCGATATCAAACTGCACATTTCTGCGTTCAGGCACAAAGGCATGTTCCGAGCCACAGGTGTCCCGTGAGAGTTTTACGAATTTCGATACTGTGCGACTAAAATCTCGTATTGCATATTTTATATCTTTAAAAATTCAAGTTTTGGAAATAATTCGCGGACACAATATTTTGCGATGTGGCGTGATTTGGTATGTATTCATAATGTGGCGTAATATATTTGCGGAGCTAGTTCTATGCCACCATCGTCAGGTTTCGAAATGAATGAAAATGAAGTGATTTACAGTACATTGAACATGCAGATTTTCAAGGAACTCTGTCCTTACAAGAGTCTAGACCTAGTTTATTTCACCTTGGTCGGCTAAGGCGGTAATTGAAGAGACGTTTGTCGCCGTCAAGGCCGACGTCCGGGACAGGGCCTGAGGAAATCCGGCCTCAGCTGGAACGCCTCATCCCCCACGAGCACACAGAGCAGGGAGCCTTGTGCTGGGCAGTGGCAAGTCCTTCGGCAGCTTCAGACGGCCTTGCTCAAGGAGCTGGCCCAAGGCAGACCGCTGGAGGACCCCTCGATTGCTCTGCTTCCCGTAGGCGACAATATCCACAACAACGAACCTGTAGTCACTGTCGACAACGGCAAGCAGTACAACAGAATAGATCCCATGACACGAACAGTATTATTTTACTTAAGGGCAGTGTGGGTACAGTGGGCACGCAATAATTCAAACTCGTTTATTTTGTACTTCCGCTTAATTCGAAAAACAAAATTAAAAATTTTGCCTGCTCCTCTGAGTTTTCAATGCATTTATAAGCAGCTTAATTCAAACATACTATTTGTTCCTCGTGGCGGTTTAGCCCCATTCAGTGCACTCCTCACCGAGCACTGTGTACTGTGGGAAAGAAATACCTACGAAGAGCGCATTCATTGCTTTTCTGCATTAAATGGGCGCTCGGTCAGAAGCGCTCTTTATAGGACTAACCCAGCGCGATTATGCAAGCAGATCTGTCCTGACAATATTCTTTCGTTTTTTGTGCTTGATTTTGTTATTTTGACATAGGCCATGCTGCGCCAAAATGAATTAAAAGAGTCTATAGTAAAAGAAAGGAATTACTATTCCGAAGATCTATAGCTGGTGCAGGTCGCCGGTTTTTTAAAGAAAATCTAAAATGTGACCAAAAGGAACTAAAGGTTCATCTCCCAGCAAGAAAGCTAGATGAAATGGGAGATATCCGGAAAGTGTGGGGAAACTTGTTTGACGTTCTCTATCAAAGAATTTGCAGTGCCATAGAATGTGCAATATAGTTAGCAATTCACCACAATGCTCGCACACTGGGGTGCCTTCACAACAAAGAAGGTGTCGATGGGTCGCACGTCAATGCCCAATTCTCAACCTGACACATTAAAACTTCATGGCGACGGGCTCTATGGTGCGAACTCTCTGGTGACATGCAGCTTATTATCTATTTCTTTGTCCTGCCAGGGGTTATAAATTGCTTTTTTGAGAACTAGTTTAAAATCTTCTTGAGGCATCCCAACGGGTGTTTCCAGAGCATCCCTGACAGAGGCTGCTAGCCTATCTGCCTTTTCATTACCTGAAATTCCCACATTGCTTCGTACCCAGCACAGCTTGACATTATATGCCATTTGGAAAGCCAGGTTTAACTATACATGTACTTGTTGCACAAGCCAATTATTAGAATCATTGAGTGAAGAGAGAGAAAGGATTGCACACTGGGAGTCCAACAAAAAAAATAGCTTTCCTGATATTGTTGCCTAATATATATTCAATAGCCATGAGCACACCATAAAGCTCTGCAGTGAAAATGCTGGCAACAGAGTCAAGCCGTCGAGCTTTCGCAAGGTTTTCTGAATATACAGCCGAAACAACAAAGTGGGGAGTTTTTGCACCATCAGTGAAGAATTGTGCACAGTCCTTATACTTAGCTTGCAAGATCATAAACTCTTGCTGAAGAACTAGTGGCGCAACATATTGTTTATTGTGCTTTGCCTGCGTGCAGTCACAGGTATAGTGCACCGCCTTCCAAGGAGCAATGCTTCGAACTCTCGACATCAAGCTACGCTCAGGGAGTGCAGCTGCAGGGATGCAGGCATTCTTTGAATCCGGAGGCCTAAAGGCTGTACTATCCTCGGCTTGTTCTCAAAAACACGTGAAAGAGGAGCTGCCTGAAAACAGTGGAAGGACGGATGTTCAGGGTCAGATTTGAATTTATAACTATAGCATAGGCTGAGGTACTGTCTTCGTTTTTAGTGGCATTTGGCCCGTCTCTGCATAAAAACTCAGGACAGGCGACGTTTAGAAGGCCCCCATGGCAAATCGAACTCCAAGGTGATGGACAGGATCTAGCATTTTTAAAGATGATCTTCGTGCCGAGCCATATACAACCACACCATAGTCGAGACGGGAACGAACTAACGAGTTGTAGAGTCGCAGGATGTATCTCCTGTCAGAACCCCAGGACATGTGTGCAAGTACTCTGATAACATCAGCAGATTTAAGACACTTTCGCTTCCGTTCCTTTAGATGGACCCGAAAAGTGAGCTTCTTATCAAAAATAACACCTAAGAACTTGTGTTCATGCCTAACGGTAATGTCAGTGTCATTCATCTGCAAGCTGGGATTTAGTGACAACCCCCGACGTAATGAAAAAGGCGCACACAGCGTTTTTTCTTGTGCAAACCAGAAATCATTTTCATCGGCCCACTTACTCATCCTATTTATTGCTACCTGCAATTGGCGCTCAGAAATTGACATGTTGCATGAGGAGAAATCAATGTGGACATAGTCTACATACAATGAATAGAAAACTGACGGTGGTATCACTGCAGCGAGGCTGTTGGTCTTAATTGCAAACAAGGTAACACTCAAGACACCTCCCTGTGGGACGCCGTTTTGCTGTGTAAAAACATCTGAAAGAGTGTATCCCAGGCGGACCTAAAAAACAAATGTCTGTCAAGAAGTCCCTTACAGAACGCAGCACGACATCGAACACTGCAGCTATACAGGTCCTGAAGTATTCCGTACCGCCATGCAGTATCGTAAGCATTATGTATATAAAAAAAAAACACAGAAAGGCAATGCTGCCGGTTAGCAAAAGCCTCACATACGAAAGTCTCCAAGCGGACAAGGTGATCCAAGGTTGAGCAACCTCTTCTAAAACCACAATGGTTTTAATCGAATTTTTTTTGTTCGAGAATGTATACCAGCCTTTTGTTTATGAGCCTTTCACAAGTTTTCCCTACACAACTAGTCAGTGCTTTAAACAGGTAACTTCCTGCTAGGGAGGGGTCTTTGCCAGTCTTCAAGATGGGAATGATGTGTGCTCGCTTCCAGCACTGTGAAAAACAAGAAGTTTCCCAAAAATGATTAAAGACAACAAATCACCAAGGATTCAGGCGACAAGTGCCTCAGCAGTTCATAATGAATCAAATCTGGACCAGGTGCTGACTGCTTCCTTACTGCAAGGGCCATTTCAAGCTCACAGACTGTGAACGGCCGATTGTAACCAGTATCACTTCCAGAGAAATCAATATGCTGTTTTTCTGCCAAGCACTTAAACTTTTTAAATTTAGTAGTGTAATGTGAGGAACTGGAGACCTCTTGAAAAGGATCAACAAGAATGTTAGCCTGGTATTTTAGTGATGGGAATGATGAGGGAAAAAGGGAAATACTGAAGGAGTGGTAAGTACCTAAAAATTTCTAACGCGATCCCATGTCTCTTTTGCGGGAACAAAACTGTTTAGAGAGCACACATATTTCACCCATGAGGTCTTCTTGGCTTGTTTCCGTGTCCAACGAGCTTTTGCTTCACACTGTTTGAATTCGATCTTGTTCTGAACAGTCGGGTTCTGCCGAAACCTTCCCCAAGCCTGATTCTGAGCTTTCATTCTGGTCATACAGTCCTTGTTCCATCAAGGTTTACATTTCTTGGAAGTATTTCCAGAAGTTCGGGGAACTGTCACCGACGCAGCATTTATAATTTTTTTCAGTAAGGTTAAGAGTCGCTTCCTCAGGAGACATAGCTAAAAAAATCAGTGGGATCGACCACTGCCTCCAGAGAAAATAAAGGCCGTTTGGCTTTATATAACTTTCACCTGGGAACACAAGCTCGAAGAGAAGGAAGTGATACTGCACTTTCTAAAATGACAGGAGAATGGTCACTACCAAAAGGATTTTCTAGAACCTTCCAAGAAAAAGAAAGAAGTAGGTGACGATATGAAAAGATCAATGGAAGTAAAAGTATTATGAGGTGCACTAAAAAAAGGCGGTTGTCTTTTGTTTATAAGGCAAAGGCCAGATGACAGTAAAAACGTTCTATGACACCGCCACTGGAGTCTTGACGACCGCTGCACCCCATGGGGTGGTGTGCATTAAAATATCCTAAGATTAAAAAAGGTTGTGGGAGTTGGCTCACAAGTCCTTGCAGGTCATGTTGATGCACTGGAAGGTTTGGTGGTAGGTAAAGCGAGACAATTGTGATTAGGCGGTCAAGCAGAACACGAACCGGTACTGCCTCTTCGGGGGTTGCGAGAGAGACAGGAGCACAGGCCATACCACTCTGCACAACCACAGCGTTGCAAGAAAAACGGTCTTTTCTAAAAACCTTATGTCGCCGTAGTACCTGTGTATAAGTTTCGTTAAGATGAGTCTCCTGCAAACAGATGGCAACAGGCTGGAGCTCAACGAGAAAAAAGTTGACATCATCGATATTACGAAAAAGACCGCGGCAGTTCCACTGCATCATACCTATATCTTTAACCATTTAAATACAAAATAAGTAGAACATAAATTATATTAAAAAGTTATGTTCCTTAGGGTTTAAAATCTATTTTCACACATGGCGCACCTTGTTTTTAAGGGGGTCGTTCTGTTTACAATTAGAATCACCGGAAGCAGAAGGAGTGAACTCTGATCTTGAGAAAAGAGCCTCCTCATCATATCTCAGCCCACCCTCGTCCATGGGTTCGCCTGCAGCTGCCGGCTGTTGGCCATTGGAGGTCGACTGCCTTGGCGCTTTTTCGGGCTTCCTCTGGAGAGCAGACATATGGGGAGGTAGGCCCCGTCCCCGAGAGCTGGAAGCATCTGGTTGTGCAGGAGACGTCATCTCCTGTTCTGGGTGGGTGCTGGCAAAGCAGCATTCACCTTGCGGTTCGGAGGCTGTGCCACTAGCGCCGCTCCTCGGGGTTTCGAGGGGGACCGTGACGGGAGATGCAGGTCGTCCGGAGACGTCTGCGTTCCCATCGAAACCACTGGCCGCGATGGTCCCCTGCGCATGGCCTTGGTATAAGAGCCTTTTGATACAAAGGCAAAACACTCCTTTGCCACAATTTAGGTGATATTCTCCGTAACTTTAAACGTAAAAATTTCTTTATTTTCTTTCCACAGAGGACAAGGACGGGAGTATGCCGGGTGGTGGCCACTACAGTTCGCACAATGAGGCTCATTATCGCACGCATCTGCAACGTGCTCCTTGCTGGAGCACTTTGCACAAATGTCCCTTCCTTGACAGTTCCGTGACTGATGGCCGAACCGCTGGCACTAAAAGTACCGTTGGGGGTTCGGCACATAAGGTCGGACCCGGCACTGAAGGTAGCCTGCCTTTACAGTCTGTGGCAGAGTGGTCGAATCGAAAGTCAAAATGATGTGTTTTGTTTTCCGTGCCACACCATCACGGCGGATAGTGATTCGTCGTGCAGCTATAACTCCTTGACTAGAGAGGCCCTCAATTATCTCTGGCTCAAGTGAGTCAAGCAAGTCATCCTCAGAAATGACCCCTTGAACACTGTTCAGTTTGCGGTGAGGACTCACGGTTACTTTGTTGTCGGAGACAAGGTTGAGTTTTAAAAGGGCATCGCTTTGCTGCTTTGTAGTGACCTCGACAAGGAGATCATCGGTTCCCATCTTCTTTGCACTGTGACTGGCGCCAATAACACCCTCAAGAACTATGGGGACCAGGAAGGGGGAAGTTTTCCAAGTGGCTTGTCACTCTCCGAGTGCAATACAAGAAACTTCGGGAATTTCTGCAGTTCAAAAGATTGTCTCAATGTGTTGAGTGCTTCGGTGTGGACCCTTTTGGGGGGCCGATCAAGAGGTTTAAGTTTGGGACCCATATGGGGCGGGTTTTCGGAAACTGTGGCGCACCGCCCACCACAGGGCGCAACAAGGGAGTAGGTAACGCATCATAACAGAAAAGGCTTGGCTGAAGACGTTACTTTATTAGTGCTGCCCAGTCTCTATAACCAAGTGTGGTTTTGGACAAGGTGTCTGTGGCCACCCACGGTTATCCCTTGCCACTTGACAGGGTGAAAAAGGAAGGAAGAGGGTAAAAAAAAGAAAGAAAAAAGGTGGGAGAAAAAATGAAAGAAGGAAGAATAGTGTAGTAGAGGCGACTGACTAAATCATCCTGGTCGGGCCAAGCCAGGACAAAGTCTACGGGAAGCAGGGGCCGAAGCGGTATTTTGCCTCGCCCGGGGGACCCCGAAGTGTCCGAACGTACCCAGGGCTCAGCTCAACTACCAGGATCCCCTTTTCCCCGGACACGTGTTAAACCACGCAAAGTCAGGCGTTAGTGGGTAAACCCACATAGCTCGGGGTTCGCGGTGGCACCACTCACCAAGCACCTACCAAGGTAGGTGCCCCCTGCGTGTGGTTATGGCGGCCCACGTGGCTGGGGTCCGTGGGGGCGCTACTCACCAAACACCTGCTGTCACAGGTACGCCCTTTGCTGACAAAGCCTTTGACATCCTTTGCTGACCTCATAGTCAGCATTCGACCAATTGTGGTGGGCCGACCACAGCGACACTTTCGATCGCTCACGTCGCCAATACATGCACTTCACATAAGCCTGAGCTAACTGCTGCACGATAAAACAAATTCTGTGCGTCTGGCATCTGCAGCAACTTAAAAAGATGCGGCACTTACCGCCAGATAGAGTGGCTGGAGACTGGTCCACAGAGCCTTGCAGGTGACCCACACCGCCAACCGGGCCGCCAATATGCCCACTCAAAAAAAGAGGGCCATGTCCTGAATCAAGTCGCCGGAGGACAAGTACCTGCAATGGGAAATCGGGATGTCCACAGCTTAAAACATGTGTGGTAGAAATTGTGATGGCCCCTGCGACTATGAACTGATGAAAATGTAACACGCAGCAAATTGAGTATTTCATGGTGTTAATTATTTCAATCGCCGCATGTCAAGTAGCCACTCTGGCATCCATTCCTTATGACATAGCGTTCGTAATCTTGCCAAGCAGTCCTTGAGCGTACCTGAACTAAAATTATCCAACAACTAAGTTAATGAGTAAAGTCACTGAACACACACAGCCCCAATACCATGCAGTTCATGGGCGCTATGTGGTGACGACATGTTTGAAAATTTTTTTGTTTAAATTTTAGAAGCATTTTGAACCACTGAATATCACGGCTTGATCAATTCAGCTCTGATAAAATATTTCTTAGGTTCTATCGCAAAGCAAAGCTCAATTGTTCAAATAAATGTCTAGACAGCGTGATGTCAATCTGCCGTGAAATGAGATGACTGTTTTTGATATAGAAAGGAAGTTTGTCAACACATTACGACTGCGAACCTCCAGTCTTTATGTATCTCACGCAAAAGAAATTCCGTAACTACTGTACAGTGTGCAGAAACCAAATCAAACTGTATTATTGATGCGGTTAAGGTGCAAAATGTTTCGTCTTTCTTTGCGCTGGTGTTTTGAGAGCACGCTTTGTGAGGAGTTCCCCGTTCATCAGGCGAAAGTGCCAACGTAGGCGCTATTTAACGTAAAGATCGAGAAACTGCTTCGCGCATTCTTTGGTACAAAATTGTTTTTCGAAATGAGGGACCAGGGAATGGGCTATGCGTTCAGCAACCTTCGGCAACTGAATGTGCTCGTTGATCTTCTGAAGAAAGGTTTGTTCTACAGTTTTGATACACTGAAAGAATGTACCTGAGGGGGACAGAAAGAGCCGACAATCGACCCAAGAGCGCTGGCTTGGAGGAGAGCATGGAACTGCACTTCAGAGGTGAGCACTCACCTTCCAGCACTCAACAAGTCCGGGCAAAGATGACACAAACGTTTTCTTAAGAAACGACTCTACCAGGAACCTGGCGAAGTGATATTCAACATTTTCTTGGATGAGGCCGTCATATGACTCATCAGGTAGGCCAAGCTCATCGGTCTCAATTGCTGGCAGTGGCTCGGACTGATGGCTGGCTGCAGTCGACCCTGGAAGGTGCCTAAATTCCACCAGCAATGTGGGAGCGCCTGCCTCACAGTTCCCTCAACTGGAAGGCTGAAACATCTTTCCAAGAAAAATGTGTTTCAGGCCTGCCACAAACTAGTAGGAATTAGGCGTCTCGTTAGACCCATGCTGCTGTCGCACCATCTCGAACAAATTTTCCAGTGCGTCCTGGTTGAGCCGTCTTGTTAGTAAGGGATCAAAGTCAAAGTTGTAAGAGACGGCATTGCAGAGACGGATCCTGTAAGAGGACGGCATTGATGGCAATTTGCCATTCCCTCACTGTGTGGGGCCCTCCTGGTAATAAGAACTGCAACTTTGAAATTCATAAGGTTTTCCCCATTAGGAAATTAATGTCTTAATGAAGAGCTTAGAGTGAATCTCATTTTTTTGTTCACCGCATTCCAGAGTAAAAATTTGGTCCATGCATGTGCTCAAGGAAGTCGTATTTGGCCTGAGCCTCAGGGGGCAGCTATTTCAGTGAAAGAAGGGTTGCAAGGGAAACAGAAAGCTTGTCACTAAAAACCTGCACAAAAAATTGTACTTTCATATTTCCGAATGGAGTCAATCGAAGAGGGTGCTTTTTTTTTTTTTGTAGAAGTCCCCAATGTATTTTCATCTGATCAATCTGCTGCCAATTCGGAGGTCATGCCTGCGCTGGTCGTTACGTGTACACTTGAGCAGATGAGGGGTGTCAAAGACAAAGTAGACCTGGTTGTCACCGACAAGGAAGGATGATCTGGTCCCAGCCAGCGTGGAAGAGTGCAGTTGCTGGCCACCTGGTCGCACACGCGACAGCTTTCACAAGGGTTTGAATAACGTCCGTCAAAAGATCCGGGAGAGAATCTGGGGATGAGTAGTGTTATATGATACACGAACCAGAAGTAAAGAAATTCCTGTCACGTACTCAGTTCCATCCTGTATCATCCTCCCACGTGACCATCACGTCACGTCCCACGCCCCCTCCCACGGTCCTCGGACCCCAAATTTCGGGACCTGTCATTCATTTGGCAGAGTCACGTCAGAGGTCGGGTGGCCCCAAATTTCGGGACCTGTAAATCATTCGGCAGTCATGTGATTATTACGTCAGAGGCTGGGACGACACTCGGCACCTGGTTCCATCCTGTATCAACCTCCGACGTGGCCGTGACGTCCCTCCCACAGCCCCTGCCCATGGCCCGGTCCTCGGCCCCAAATTTCGGGACCTGTCCAGAAATGAGTATGTTCCCAGAGGGTACGAATTAACTTAGGTCATTCCTCAGAGGGTGACGCCACATGATGATGTCATAACGCGGGACGGTCACATGACGATGAAGGGCATGTAACATTTGAATCGCCTCGCGGTAAATGCAATGTATTCGCTAAAAAAGGCTCTGCGGCGGTTGGGAATCGAATTCGCTACCTTGTCCGCAGCAGCCCTACACTCTACCCCCTGAGCTAGAGGCACATTGCTTCCTAGAGCGCTTAACTCGTCTTAGTTGTCCGTGTGTGTGCAAATCCGATCACGTGTTTTCCGGCTACTTGGCTTTTGGAATAGGGTTAAAAGACAGGATACGTCATTGCCGCAGGTCATGTGACGATGGTCGTGTAATATTATTTGCATCGCTGGGCGCTAACATTGCTCGCCTTCCTATCACGTGATTTCGCGCGATTCAAACGGTGCTTGCGGACGTGTAGCCTCGTGGCGCCCCCCTAGCTGCTGCACTTGGGGTCTTCGACCCGCTGAATTTCGGCGTCATGTGACTGTCCCGGATAGCAGCAGCTGGCTCCCGCTAAATTGGGGTTGAGGTGACAGTAAAATTTTAAAGCTCGCGGACCCTGATTGATGTTGATCCTGCGTAAAGCTTTAAAGTGGCCCTGTGAAAATTCGGGGCCAGCTCGAAAAACTTTGCAAAAACCCACCAAATTTTAGAAATGGGCGCCATCTAGTGTTCAAATTGTGAAGTGGTCCTCGTCAAAATTGGGTCCCATCTGGTGGTAAAAACTTCGATCCGCTGTAAACTTTGGACGTCATGTGACGGTCCACTTAGCATCTGCTGGGTGCTGCTAAATTGGGGGAGAAGTGACGGTAAAATTTTGAAGCTGGCGGACCGTGTTACATCTTGGTCCAGCGTAAAGCTTTGAAGTGGACCTGGGGTAGCGTTGGGGCAAAGTCTTGAAACTCACAGACCGTGCTGGACACAGTGATTTGTTTTTGAATAGACACCATCTAGCGGTAAAACGTTCAAGAGCTCATCGCTAAAATTGCTGACATCTGGTGGTAAAGGCTTTGACACGCTAAATTTGGGCGTCATCTGAAGATTACCCTAGCACCAGCTGGACAGCGCTAAATTTTGGCTTGGGTGACAGTAAAACTTTGAAGTTCGCAGGCCGTGCTACATCTTGTCCCAGCGTAGAACATTCAAGTGGCCCTGCTAAATATTGGGTCCCAGCGTAAGCATTTGAGAGCTCACAGACCGTGCTGGATTCGAGTGAATTTCGGGATAGGTGTCATCTAGTGTTAGAACTTTGAAGTGCTCTTTGGTAAATTTGTTTACATATGGTGTTAAAAGCTACGACCCGCTAAACTTGGGCGTGGCATGACGGGTTCTTAGCACACATGGTCAACTGCATCCAGTTAAATTTAAAGGGGTGACGGTAAAAATTCGAAACTCACGAACCGTGCTAAGTTGAGAAACAGCGTAAAGTCTTGAGGTGGTACTGCCATACTTTGGGGGCTGGCCCCAGCGCGTAAAACTCTGAATTGGCCCTGATAAAATTTCCAGCCTAGAGCGTAAAACTTTACACAGTCCCAGTTAATTGTGGTATATCCGACACCAAGCGTTAAAACTTTGAACAGTTCGAAGATTATTTTAAACTTCAATGAGATAAAGATACCATTTCCTCTTCTCGATTTCGCGCGCGCACCGTTTAAATCCAGGATTTAGGCGTATGAGTTGACACCTCCGTTCATAGATGGTGCGCGTTTTTGTTGCTAAGCGTCTTTGTTGTTGGGACATGCGTGACATCTGGTGGCGTGGGTGTGACCTTGCGACATCTGTTGCTGAAAAGTTAAATTGCTCGTGTTGCTAAGGCCTGCTCATCCGTATTTTCGCACGCGAGCAATTTAAGTCCGGCCTTTGTGCGTGTGAGTGGTCGATTCCGTTTGTAGATGGCGCGCACCTGAATACCTTAGCTGCCGTGAACTTTTACCATTATCACGCGACATCTCTAGCTAGTTTAACGTTATCTGTCTGCTGAACGGAGCAGTGTGGGATATGGAACGGAGCGTGGCCGCATCCATACGCGCTAAAGAAGAGACAGATATGGTGTTTCATTTTTGTTTTATTCTTGTACGCTCTAAAAACACGCACACATATAAATACAGATACGGCGCTTAATTTGTTCCTTACTCTACGCAACAAAGAAACCATTGAACACACTTTACACAAATATGTACAACACAAGCAGTTTCAAGACACATCTGAGGCAAAAAAGTTGTGAAATGACATCTCACGAGCAACGCGCGATACAGTCCTCGCGTCTCAGATAACTCCTTGACAATGTCACTTGCAAATTGTTTACAATAAAAGGGACCATGAAACAAAATGGATTCTCTACATCTCGTAGACGAAGCAATGAAACACCTCTTACCTATTTCTTGTGAGAAACGAGGCGACTTCGCAGGTTTCCACCCTTCTTTTTTTTATGTAACAAAAACAGCTTTGTTGGTTTCAGGCTCCAAACCCTCAAACGTCGACTACATCCTGCTGGAAACGGGTAGGGCTGCAAGATCTAGCCTAGTTTTCTGTTACTATCTCGACGCTGGAGAGGTGCATACCTGACGTACCTAGTGTTAGAACCCGTATACTGAGCCACATAATTCTGAAGAGCGCACATTCTTTCGCAAAACGGAATGCTTGACGAGGGAGTCACATTGTGAACCAAGGCTAAGGGAACTTGCAGCGAGTCTGCACTGTATTAATGCTGTTGGTCGTCGGGAGAGCGCAGGTGACGAGTAAAAATGATGGCGATGAGGTGGCTAGACGATATTCGTAGATATCAGACGATCAGATTACGAGGTGGCCCGTGATTGGAATGGGGTGGCTAGGCAATATTCGTAGATATACGACGATCAGGTGACGAGGTGGCTAGGTATTGGTGACCTTTTCAGATATCGAAAAAAAAAACCTATTAGCGAGGAGAACGCTAGACTTTTAGACTGCTCACCTGCAAGAAAAGGGGGATGGCGGACCGACGTGATTTTTTTCCCTCTCTCGATGACCAAATGCTGAAACAAAATGTCTTATGAGCATGGAAAACGCGAAGCTTTTGGTCTGCTCACCCTGCAGCGCGAAGATAAGGAGAAAAACGATGCGTGAGTCGGGTAGATCGAGTGCGAGGCAGTTTTATAGAGTCCCAAAGCTAGAGTATGCCCAGGGAGTCATATGCTGTGCAATCGCAGGAAACGGTGAAGTCGCAATGTTTAACGCAGATTTTCCTCTAAGCAATTACTGTTGGATGCGCAGCAAACGCCTCATCGAGGAAACGCACGCGCGGTCTATCTGGAAACCGGGACCTTGAACCGGTTTGACTGGTTTTTACTTCTTTCCAACCACTGTCTCGTTTTAGCGGGTTAATGGCAATTCGTCGGGCGTGCGCATCCAACAGTAATTGCTGTGAAGAGCCATTAACTTTATTTTAGCAATCGGAGCTGGCCATGAGACCTTTGGCATGGCATGGAGAAGTGTACGTCGCCTGATGCCATCCGTCGTTTAGACATCACCTTTCGGAGTGTGAGGGGCCGCCCTCGGGTGCAAAGAGCACATCGGGCCTCGTATGGCTACGCCCTGGCGGCACCTCCGATTATTATACTACAGCCACCATTTCTTCCTTGCAGCCGGAAAGACGGACAAGGGGAAGCGGCTGCAAGCCCTGTCCTTTCTTTGTATTGAATCGTGTCATCTATGGTCGCAGGTGGCGTGCTGTGCGGCAAACAGGCGTTAAGAAGCTACGCCGGGTTTTAGTGCGAGAGTTCAACTTCAAAAATCGTTTTCTTTCTTTAAACAAAAATTATTTTTATTAAACTTTCATAATAAGAAGACATTCTATTGTTCTTCTCAACGCACCATATTTTATATTTTTAGTCAGTTGGAATGGCTGTTTATGAATCATAACGCACTTTTTGCAACTTGAGGATTTTTTAAATGCAAAATGAAAATTGAGCGGTTTTTAATTTTTTTTATAGAATATATACCTACAGGTCAGCCGGTAAAAAGTTCATTAAGTCCCTGGAGCAATTTGATCTTTTTTTTTTATTAAAGTAACAACTTTCCTAATTTTCAATAAAACTTTTTTTTAAATATTTCAATTAAACAACTGCACGAGCAGAACCACATTATAACTTGAAAGCTCTTCAAATTTAATAAAAAATATTGTTAAGTGACAGCCACTTCTTTTAAGCAAGGTCTAGAAGGAAACAAATAGAATTTAGTAACTACATGGTTTTATAATCTAATAAAAAAGGGTATTCGCTTGTTTAAAAAAAAAATAAAACCATGTGCTCGTACCTCTATCGTGCGGAATCGGGAAACATTGAGATGCTGAACTAGCTTAGTGGAAAGCGTCGGAAGCCATGCCTCGAACCGTCGTGTGCGGCGATTCGTAGCAGCCATTTTTCCGACAGTTCGCGCGCCGGATCGGATAATTTTGACGCGCATGTGTTCGCCCGTTCAGTCGTCGTGGTTGAGTTCGTCTCTCAAGTCCACGCGTTTCGTTTCCTTCGTATACGCCACGTATAAAAACAATTTCTATCTCAATCTGTTCGCCATATTACCCAAGGCGATCGTACACCTTCCCTCTCGGTTACAATCGCTACACGGAGATTTACCGGCGGTGAACAAGTCTATGTATAACGCCGCGCACTGAGAACTCTTGTGTAGTCGGTACGTACCGAACATTCTATAGACGCGTGCGAGGAAGACAGCTTGAACGTATTCGTTAATTCTGTCCAAATTATATTACACGATGCGGAAACCTAACGAACGCGCGTTGAACTCACCTTTGACACCGGATTATTCGAGCCTGATTAAATCCGGGGCTGCGTTAGAAATGCCGCAACTGGCGCTGGGCGAACCGCCATGGACAGCGTCCAAATGGCGGCTAGAAGTGGACGCAGTGGAAGAATACGTTCCCACGGCGGGGACGATGGAAAAAGGACATAATATACTCACATATCGCCCGACTGCTATAACCTTGTGGCAGCGTTCGCATCGGGTCTATTCGGGCGACGTTATCGTCGCGATAAGCATGAGAGTGATATTGCTGCGCGCAGTGCCGTCCAGGCAACGCTCGGTCACGCACTTCTAGAAGGTTCGTGTTTATTCTTACTCGGGGCGCAACTTTTACCATTTCGTCTTTGTTTCTCGCTCTAGAAAGCGCCTGCTCGTTAACGCCTCGAGCACGCGACGCTTGAAGCTTCTTTTCAGATCATTCCCGATGCCGACACACTCCAGATAAGGACCGGCCCGCGAACTTGGGTTCCATCGCCAAATCGCCGTCCGTTTTTTTTTCTGCTGTCTCGACGGTGGTTCTTTATTACTTTTTTGTCAGAAGTTCGCCGATCAAACCTTTATTTTCAGTTCAGGTTCCGCTTCTGCACCTCCCTACCTCCCATATGATGTTACCGCCAAGTTTGTAGGCTGATCTGTGGTCAAAGTCTTTGCAGTTGCTTCCTTTACGTCGCGTAGACGGAGACGCTACGTGCTGCTGTTGATATTCTGTTTCATTTTCCCTTCAAAACTACCGCCCACCTCTGTGCTGTTAGTCTTTTTTTCTTTTCGTGACCACCCCATAGCAGTTTTACGCTTTTCAATAATAATGAACTTGTGAGAAATGGGTGTGTGCAAGCCCCATTTATAGCAACCGCGTTGGCGTATATTTGCCCGTAATCCTCGCTTTAAAAATTCAAAGCCACAAAAATATTACAGTATGTTTATCGTAGATTTTGGTAGTACATAATACGAACGTTAATTTCGCAGAGTTTGAAGAATATTAAAGATAGCCTTTTGTTTAATGATTTTCGAGCTAATGTGTATTTAGTTAAATGCCTCTGTGTGAGCAATTTTTGTAAATTTCTCCCGTTAACCAGGACAACAATATTTCACTCACAGATGAATTATATACAAAGCAAAACACTGGAAAAGTTTGAGGACCTTAACTGTTATAGATACGGAGAAACAAAATCTTTAATCCAGAGCTTTAATGCGCAATTTGCGGGATTTTCGATTTTGTTTCTGCAAAGAACGACCCTAATAGTTGGTAATTAATACTTTTTGTCAATCCTTCCTATGTCTAATTTTACAGTAAATATTTCTAGACCCGTAGCTAGAACAGTTTTTTGGGGGGAGTCCGCCCGAAATTCCATCATCGCGCGATACGCAAAACGCGCACGTGACTAAGAAGGTGCTTTAATATTTTTTCATAAAGACAAAACTTTTTTTTTTTTTTTTTAAACAAAACAAGGATTGGTTTTATTATTCTGTACATGGAGAGCCAGCAGAATATTTTTTGTTCATCAAAATTATTTTTTTTGATCAAAATGGTCACCGGACATGGTTGTTCGATCTTACCTGAAAACGCACTTCTTCAGATTCGCGCTGTACACATTGCTCGATCCAACGGCGACGATTCTTTCATGCCAGAAAGAATCGTCGCCGTTGTTGGTGTCGGCTACGTACGCAGAGAAGTTTCTTTTCGCCGAATAAGTGCGAGTGACGCCATCTTATCTATCTCGAAGGGAACGCGGATATCCACCTCGATAGGGAAGGGTAACCTTCTCGTTTCGTGGAAACTAACAAAGGAAAAATGAGTGGACTTCCGCATAGCGGCGAACGTTCGTTCAACAGCGCTGTACAACATGCAAACGTTTCGTTCTGTCTCGCCGCGGGGATATTTCAAACGCCACCGTCGCCCTAAGCGTTTGGCGTTTTTGACTCGCCGCAGGGAGAATTCAAACGTCAGCGTCGACCTAAGCGTTTGACGTTTTTCATTATTATTTTTTTATTTATCCATACTGTTAGCCCGTTGGGGCTGTTACAGGAGTGCACAAGTTCACAAAATAGAACACGCCGCAGGGGGCACCTGTGAAAGCAGGTGTTTGGAGAGTGGCGTCTCCACGTACCCCGAGCCCCGCAGGGGGCGCCTGCACCTTAGGTGCTAGGTGCTTGGTGAGTAGCGTCACCACGGACCCCAGCCACGTGGGCCACCATACCCGCACGCAGGGGGCACCTACTTTAGTAGGTGCTTGGTGAGTGGCGTCACTACGAACCCCGAGCCATGTGGGTTCGCCCACCCACGTCTGGCTGTGCGTGGCGTACCCGTGTCCGGGGAAAAGGGGACCCTGGTGGTTGAGCTGTGCCCGGGGTATGTTTGGACCCTTCGGGGTACCCCGGGCGAGGCAATACACCGCTTCGGCCCCTGCTTCTCGTAGACGGGTGTCCTGGCTTGGCCCGACCAGGATGATTCAGTCAGTCGCCTCTTCTACCCTCTTCTTCCTTCTTTCAATTTTCCTTCCACTTCTTTCTTTTTTCTTCTACACTCTCTTCCTTCCTTTTTCACCTTCTTAGGCGGCAAGGGCCAACCTTGAGTGGAAACAGGTCCTGTCCCTGCAACCACACTGGTAGAGTAATTGTGGACCCGGGCACTGAATCTTTCTCTCATCTTTATGGGTTCTAGAGCTAAACCACCCTCTGATCGGGCCCTGAAAAGGGTCCGCACCGAAGTCCCTATAAAAGACACGACATCATCTACTCCTACATTCCCCAAAGTTTTGGTTATTCACTCAGAAGATGATACACCACTTTCCAAAATGTCCCCCTTTCTAGTTGCGAAAGTGCTCGAAAGTGCAGTTGGAAAGAATTTCAAAGCTAAAAAGATGCCCTCAGGAGGCCTACTCGTGGAAATTCAATCCAGACAGCAAAGTACTGCACTTATTGCTTTGAACTCTGTGTCTGATCACAAAGTGACCGTTTCACCCCATCGTATAAAAGGCGGAAACGCAGAGCTCCGAAGTAGTTATTGGGTGTGCTGTTGTATTCATGTTTGTTGTGCCGTGTATGTGTATGCACTCAATGTATTTGTTCAACTGATGCTAGTGGTATGCGTAATGTGGCGTGGTGGCGTGAGTAAATAAACATATTTTTGTAGCACATGAATTGGGCGGTACCTAGCGCCACCTGGCTTAGTGTAACTGATATGCGACGTATGAAAGTGATATGAAAGAATAAGTTCTTATATAAAAAAGGTGTCCAATAAGCGCTTACTTCCCTACCGCATCACCCCGAGCCTAAATCCTAAATGTGGAATGAGTCCTGGGTGTTTTCCCTCCTGCCAGTCGCTATCCTGCCTTCCATCGAACATGCCGTGGCTCTCCTCTGCCTCCGAAGACGACTTTCCTACATCTTAACCGTGCTCCCCGTCTCCTGCCAACCATTATAATGGGGTACCCGAGAAAGCGCGTCCGCAACCTCGTCCTTCAAGCCCTTTAAGTACTCGATTCGAGGAGACACATGCCGAGCTCTGCTGTAAGACAAGTCACCAAAATTCCAACATACTTTGTTTCAACGGGCATTGTTAACGTTACTGAACAAACCGCTCAACGAATCCGTGGGGCACCCTGGGGCCGACTAGAAGCAGAGGTATACCGAACGGGCCCCACATTGGGTGCGCCATTTTAATGTGGAGTTTTTTAGAGGTCGCTCTACTAAAAATCGCCGCCCGATCGGTATGCGCTCCACCCGTCACCCAGGGAGTTACACACTGCAACGAGAAGACAGCGAATGGGTTTACTGTACCTCTCGGTTGCCCGTCGTTGAGAACTGACAGTCCACGCACGCCGACCCTTGTTGTCGCCCGTTGATCAGAGCTCACAGTCGGAGTTCGTGTCCAGGCCTGTGGATCACCTTTCCCACGCCAGCACTACGTAGGCTGGCTGTCCCGGGCTATCAATGCCCGAGTCTCGCTGCGGAAACACCCTGGGATTGTCACAGCCCAAGTCATATGGACAGGGCTCGCCGTTTCCACCAGTCTTGCTCCAGGCCCCGCTGGTGGACCACTCCGGGGTTCGCCATGGGCCAGGCCAGGCAGCCCGGCTCCGACGTTCCTGACCAGCTTCAGCCTTGCTCAGCACGCACTCTCTCGCGCCAGCTCGTGACTTCTCCGCCGACCGCCTGTCACATGCCCTCTGCCTCGTCTTTCACCCTCGGCTCCCACAGCTGTGGCGAAGAGAGTCGAAAGATCGCTGTGTCCGCTCTGTGAGTATTGCTTCTCCGCAGTGCACCTGTGCTTGAAGTAAAGCGCACTCAAGGGGGCCAACCCGTCGCAATCAACACTTCGAAAAGTATGAATATGGCAGTTCATTTCGAAGCGAATATCAGATAACGTAGTATTTGAAACTACGATTAGAAAATTAGAATATTTACGCAGCTCTACTCTTCGCACATAGTACTTAGGCATCAAAAAAGAAAACTGTACTTTTCTTAATTTTTAGTGACATCAACAATGTCACGTCCCAGACACTTTCAGTTTCCTTTTCGGGAACAGCTCCTTTTCGCCGCAGACATGGGGCAAATTGTGCAAAAATGCAGCCTTTGGAGCAGCATGTAGCAGGTTGTTTGTTCTAGCTAGGCATGCCATGAACCACCCTAGGTTCGAATTCGAAACGTTTCGATATTTTCGAACCGAACTGATGATCGAATTCGAAAGGTTTCAATATTTTCGACCGTACGAAAATTCGAATTAGAAAAATCGCAACTTTCAAAAATTGCGGAGTTTTTAATTCGAAAAGTTCGAAGCTTTCAGAGTTTCTATAGGTTCGGGTTCGATTATTTCGAATATCTTTTTACTTGAGGTTCGAGAAATTCAAAGATTTCGATTTTTCCTAACTTGAAATTCGATAGATTCGAATGTTTCAAATTTATTTGGGTCTGAAATTCGAAAAATTCTATTGTTTCGAATTCTTATATCGTAAAGGTTGATAAATTCAAAGATTTCGAATTTATTTCTACTAAAGTTTGAAAGTTTCAATTCTCTTTTAGGTTTGAATTCGGAAAAAAAGCTTTGAAGGTTACGAATTTCTTTCAAGTCTAAGTG